GCTGCTGGCTACACACGGTAGCCCATGGCAACCCACTGCCATAGGGGCTGCAGCCTACGCCGTCGCCGGCAACTCACGGCAGCCCAGCTCCAGGTTGAGCTGCCATTCAGCACCTTAGCTGTAGAGGGCAGTGTCACTGGCCCTCATATGTGGGATCCGAACCAGGGCCTTCTGACATCCCAAGCCAGCTCTTAACCATCGCGCCACTCGGCCGGCCCAATGGGATTTTCTTCATTTCTGTCTTTGATAGTTCATTGTTAGTATACATATTTATTTTTATATTAATTTTGTATATAAATTTTGCACCCTGCAACTTACTGTATTTGTTTATTGTTTCTAAAAGTTTTCTGGTGGAGCCTTTAGGGTTTTCTATATATATAATCATGTCATCTGCAAATAGTAACAGTGAAACAGGAGAATTTATGGAATAAGCTTTGTGCCCTGGGTGAGCAATGGATTGATTACCTTATAGAACTTAGCTTAGCAATACATAAATTTGGAACTGAAATATTCCATCCTGGTTTGGAGTGCAGCTTTATCTTGGTGTTTGCTGAGATGTAGATGCTCATGAGTAACTTGCCAGCTAATATTAAAGAAAGATCATTAGATTAATACAATCTTTAGACATGATTAAATTATGTCTGTATATACAGAGGGTGCCAAAAAAGTATACACATTTTAAGAAAGGAAAACTGTATTAAAATTGTAATACTCAATATATACCAATAACAAAAGATCACTACAAGTCACGTTTGACTTCTGCAATTACAAGAGGTGCTCAAAGTGGTTCCCTTCAGCGTCCAGACACTTCTGATTACAGCGAACTACTGCTTGAGCAACGATGACCAGTGTCCACGTGTATACACTATTTTGGCACCCCCAGTGTGTGTGTATATATATATGTATATATATACTCTTTCTGTCATATTTGGCTTAATAGGAATTGAAAAAATTGACATCTAAGCACAAGGAAATCTACATGGCAATTAAAAAAAATGTTTTTTTTTTTTTTTTATATATTGGGGAACAGTGTGTTTTTCCAGGACCCATCAGCTCCAAGTCAAGTAGTTGTTTCAATCTAGTTAAGAAGGGCGCAGCTCCGTGGCCCACACGGGGATCGAACCAGCAACCTTGGTGTTATGAGCACTGCACTCTAACCACCTGCGCTAACCGGCCGCCCCTACATGGCAACTGTTACTGAAATATGTTCTATTTAATAATGGAGAAATATAAAGTTTAGTAATCAAATCATTAAGGGTTTTTTTCTGATAATGGAACAAAGAATATGAGAATTCATGTTCTTTATTTGGGGAGAATTATCTAAGTGGGAAACTGCACGTAAATTTTAATATATGCTGAAATGCATGGTTATTTTAAAGAAATTCTTTAACAAAATGGTAGATAGTAAGATTTATTTTAATTTTTCAATCTGAAAATAAAAACAAACCCCAAAACAAAAAAACAAACTATACTCATATATACAGTGTCAACATTTTCAGAGCACTTAACATTAGGAAACATTGTTTCTCTTCAACTGTATGACAATACTGTATATGCCACAATAAGATTTACACAAATGATTGCATCAGCAGTCATACAGACACCATGATTTTACATTTCAGCACACAAGAAAAAAATAGACGTCTTCCCGGCACTTTGTTTCCTCAAACCACTGCCTGTTCCCAGGCCAGCAGAGCAGGCTTCCATGCGTGCTTTCAGAAACTTGAGCTTTGAAATCCCAACAGCGGCTATTTTAAAAGTCACATCTTTTCCAGATCCAAACTTAAATAATGAGAAATCTGCTACTTAAAAATAACCACCAATGGTTTATTCATGGGCATGGTGACGTTTACCCACCAAAAGATGTGTAAAAAAAAATTGCATGAAAGTAAAAATAAATAAAGCTGTTGTAAAGCAGTCTCATTTACACGACAGTTCGGAACACTTAGACATAAAACTGTCATTAAAGTTTGAAAAAGTAATTATCTTCAAATTACAGCTGTTCAAGAAATCTAATGAAAACAAACTGATTTGGTAAAGGTTCAAAGACGTTCCCACTCCAGCACAGGATCATTTCACACAAGTACACGCTCCCTCTGCGATGGGCAGTAGTGATGACATACCGCTGAGTTCTGACATAAGGCACTAGGACTGAATATGCCATACACTCACCTTATGTCACGTTACCTGTCCCCAGTGAATTCTTTGAAATGAAAAATAATAAAACATTTCAGGATACAGTGCACTTAAATGACATACAGCATTTGAAAACTTTCAGACAAAGGTCTGAAAACAGTCTTTTAATGCAAACCCGAATCTTCAAACACAGACAGTAATTTTTTTTATGCTTAGTTTCAGCATCACTGGAAAAAAATACCCATCACTAAACCCTGATATACGTTCTCAGCCATTTTCCTCTCTTCTATTGCAGTCAGTGTTCATGAGGCAAAGCGTGACCCAGATCTTTGTTCAAGTTCTCCAAGGGCTTGTCCATTCACGGCGGTCATTCCGCTTCCGGCTCCTTTTGTTTGGCACCTATCAGAGGGAAAAGGAAAGTTCCAGAGCACTGTAACAATCTGTTGCATGCCCTCCCTGGCAGCAGCAGTGGTTCTCCACCTCGGTGGTCTCGACATACCTGGCAGAGCCTCAGTAGCAAGGTCCAGGGGCTGGTGGGGATGGCGAGGTGGGCTCCAAGCTCCCCAGCCATACCTACCGTTACTGCAGCATGCGTTTAAATCCGTATTATATACTGTAATTCTAAATATGCAGGATTTAATTTGGAACAGAGAAGGGTTCTGCTAAAATATTTTAAAGAAATATGTATTTACGTTTCAGTGGAGGTGCAAAGTAATTCTGTTTTACATACTTACCATATTTCTCCATGTATAAGACGCACCCTTGTTTGGGAAAATTTGGGGTCTAAAAACTGGGTGTGTCTTATACAGTGGTTGTAGTGGTTTTTTTTACTTGCATTTCCCGCTGAGGACGAGGCAATATATGAAAACAGTGATTTGTCATCAGACACAGATGAGGACAAGCTAATGGTTGGGAGTTTTGACAGTGATGAGGAGTTGTATGAATTTTATGATGAATAAAAGTTGAGTTCAATAACTTTATGTAATACTTTTTTCCAAATTTCGGGCCCCCAAATTAATTATACATGGGAGTGTCTTATACATGGGGAAATACGGTATAAAAGTGTAAAAAAAAAGCATCATAACATGTTTTCAGATAATTGCACATAATGCCTACTTGTATCTGGCCAGGATATTTTAAAATGGGTTAGTATGGAAAGTGGCCATTTTTCTCACCACAGCAGCTTCTCTCATATTTCTTATCAGACACCAGAAGACACTAGACTTTTGAAAGAGATTAACAATCTATTAAAAAAAAAGGGGCTAAAAAGCTGCCGCTACCACCACCTCTGCTTACTCACTGGCTGCATGTGTAGACACTGAGGTTCATTTGGACAGGGTGAGTTAACTCTGACAATGAACTACTAAAAACTTTAAAGCATATTGTATTGGATCTGTACCCTTCATGGGATTGTCTGCAATTTGGTGAGAATAGCTGCTGGATGCTTTCTAAAAGTACCTCTTATGGGTCACTCCCCACACCTCACCCAGCAGTGCTCGTGCTGGGTATGGTGCCTTACTACGCACAGTTTTCACGCACGTTTTTGGTTTCAACTCGAGTATGTTTGAAGGGACGGAGGGCCTGTGCCAGCCTGCTCACTGTACAGCTGAATGCATGGAGGCTGAAGGGGAGTAGCTTGCCCACACTCGGCTCTCGGGGTAAAGGGCCGGGCTCGCCAGGCTGGACCCCTAGCTTGAGGCTCATACCAGGCCAGCTCCCATGTCCAGTGGAGTCAGGTGGAGCTGCTGAGGGGACGTGGGCAGTCCCTGCATTCCAAGAGAGTTCTCCAAATGTTCACTGGTTACCCAGTCATTTGGGACACGGAGCGTTTTCCTAAATAAACAGCGTTATGCACACGGAGTTACCCCCATCTTTACGACATCATCTCTGGTAACAGACACTTCAGATGCCAGCTGTGCAACAGGTTCTTCCCTGCAGAGGAGCACTGAGAGCTGACTGAAATAACAAGTCTGGGTGGAATTTTAAACTCATCAGGCCCAAGGTTCTTATGGTTGCAACACGAAGGCAGAGAGAGGCTAAGAACTTGGCTTGTGTGCTCTGCGTCTGCGGTGCACACAGAATCTTGGGTGCAAGGACAGACAAGCTGACGTTCAGCCCGACCCCACTGGGCAAACTATGTCAGCACCTGGAAAAGGGGCATCTTTTTCTGAAGGTGCCAGGTTATGTGCCCATGGGGGTGTGTCTGCCCAGAGAGCAGGCCTCTTCCTATCGTGCATGGTTGCCTACAGAAGGGATCCCTCTGGGTGGACCTGCTCCTCTGCTCGACGCCATCTGTGAGGGTCGGCCACTGTTAGTTTGCGTCCTTGGTCAATGCTTGTAGCATCCACTGGACAGACACAATGCAGTCTGTCCATTCGTCTGCTCAGACGTATCTGGATTAGACCCAGCTTTTGGCTGTGAACAATCTCACATGCACTTTGTCATCTTATCAACATTTCATGATTCTAAAGATTATCATGAGATTCACATTCTCTAATATCTGAAGTTTTAAACTGCACCAGGCCCCATGTCTAGTTTCTGATTCAGGAGATGTGGGGTGGGTCCCTCAATGTACATGTCTAATGAGTCCTCACTGCGGCGGCTGCTCTGGCCCGAGCGGGAGGCTGTTCCTGTTTTCAGCTAATGGGATGCTCTCTCACCGGTGGCCAGGGCTTCCTTTAGGGTGGGTATCTTTAGGTTACAGGTCAATAGTAAAAACTAGTCTTAGCTGGTCTGATTTCTGAACTCAAGAAAATCAATAAGGTTGTGCACGCACACTTTAATGTTTAACTTCTAAGAGTATAAAGTGCACGTCACTCAGTCTCCTGTCTTGGCCTTGGTCTTGGCCTAGGTCTGCGCAGCTCAAGGCTGCACTGTTTGTACCCAATGGGGGTGGGGAGAGGAGGAGGGGACAGGAGAAAGTAAGGGAGGGCTGCCAGCCCAGTATTAACTGTGTGTGACACAGCGGAGACACCAGCTCCTTCCAAGGTCCCCTCTTCCCCTTGGTGCTCCCCGACTGTGACCTGAGGGCTGGCTCACAGTGAATCTGGCAGAAAATTAGTTCAGCCGTCAGGCCGTTTGGTAGTTAATGTAATTTCCATACACTATTAATAAAAAAAAAGTTTGTGTTTAGGTCTTTTGTTTTATGTACTTCACACACTAGAAATCTAGCTTCTTTTCTTTTTAAAGGGTAGATGAAGGTTTCAATAGTTAGAACCCAAAGAATTTCCCTCCTGTTTTCCAGCTAGTCCTAAAAATAAAGCAAAACTGAGGAGATCTTAGCTTTTTAATGGAAAAGGTGATGATGAACCTGGCAGTGAACCCTCGATTGTCAGGGCTCTGACAGGATGTTAAGTCAGACTACTTCCTATAAACTTTTCTGTCTCACCCTAGTGGAGGAGGAGAACTTCAAAACCACAAAGAAATGCAAATGGTTTACAGGGCGATCTGACTTGTAGGTGGGAGGTGGAGAAACAGCTGCCTGCTGTGCCCTACTGTCCCAACTCTGTGCGGTGAAGGTCAGAAGGTCAAGGTCAGAAACTGGTGGCTGTACCTGGAGGCGTGAGGATCAGCGCTTGCAAGATATCTGACAGGGAAATAATACCCACGATACTATCTGCTTCATTTACCACCACCAGCCGATGGACCTGCAAACAAGAGAAAAGGGGTCCATATGAGAAAGTTCCAATGAAAAGTTTTAAAACGGGTATTAGAAAAAACCATCTTTCATACACGACAGAATGAACCCACCCCACAAATGAGAGAAAGTAACAGCGTATAGAAAACCCTATGAACGTCCGGGCTCTAATGTTGAAACAATGTTGATTTGCTTGACTAGTTTTAAGAAAAACTAGCCAGCCCATATCCTGGTAAGTTTTCAAATGTCAAATATTAGTGTATGAAAGAGACAACTCAAAACATGAAGTACAATGTAGCTATAATATTCTCTTACAGGGTTTTAATTTTTAAAAGTGTCTGTTTCTGATAAGTACAAGATAGTTTTACATGGGAAAGAAGTCCAAATGAGCACTGAAACTAAGCAATAGGTCACTGCCCTTACAAAGTTAAAAAAATTTTTTTTATCGTGTCTTTTCTCTATGAAGTTCATATATTAATAACAATATTCAAAGGATAAATGAACCATAATAAAGTGAAATGGATTAGATTCATCTTTTTTATTTGAAGTCTTTTATAAATGAGTGGACAACGTTTTGAGGTATAACAGTAGCAGAGCATCCTTAAGGCAGGACGAAAGCAGCACGCTTTTCAGATTGAAAGCTTTAGAACTTATTTCCGGTCAATTACCTTGGAGAGCCTCGTCTCCATACTGAACAGTTTAGACTCCCCAACCCCCGCTGGTACACACTGGAGGGCATAGGAAGGAGAAGGAAAGAGGGGGAAATTGTTTTTAGATTTTGTCTTTTTTTTTTTTNTGTGTGTGTGTGTGTGTGTGTGTGTGTGTGTGTGTGTGTGTGTGTGTGTTTTACTTCTTTAAAGATTCTCCCTTTCCTTCTAGCTTCCGTTTTTTTCTGATGAGAAATCAGCTATCGTATTATTTCCTTCTGTCTGCTTTTAAGATTTTCTTTTTATGTTTGATGTTCAGAGTTTGACTTTATGTTTGTGTGTAGTTTTCTTTGCTTTTATGTTGTTTAAGGTTTACTGAGCTTCTTAGATTTGTGAGTTACTGTTTTTGAATCCAATTTGGAAAACTTCCCAACCAGTATTTTTTATGCTCCATATTTGCTCTCCTCTCATTCTAGGACTTCAATTTCACATATGTTAGATAGTTTGATAGCTTTTTAACCAAAAATACCGTGTTTTTGTTTTTTCCCTTTCTAGTTTAATGATTAAAAAAAATTCAGATAATGTATTTTTCAGTTCTAGGATTTCCATTTGGTTCTCTTTTAGTTTCCATTTCTTTCCTGAAATTTCTCATCTCTACCCAATATACGCATGTTTTCTGTAGGTTAACATACTTCTTGTAGTTATTTTTAAATCTTTGTGTGCTAATTGTAACTTCTGGATCATTCATAGGTCTGATTTTATTGACTGTCTTTTCTCTTATAGGTCACATTTTTTGCTTCTTTTCATATCTAGTAATTTTTGTTAAAGTTTTCATTTCCAAGGAAAGGTCAACTTTTCTTTGATTTTGATGGAGGAAAGATCAACTACATAAATCTGTCAAAATTAAAGGAAGTGAACCAAAACACAAAGATGAAAGGTGTGTCAGATGCTTTCCTGAATTAAAAGGGTTTCCATCCTGGAACTTATAAAGTTGGGAGGGCTCTTACTGCTCGACCTTGAAGGAGGTAGCCCAGAAGAAAAGAAAACCAGCTACCGTTGATTTTACTTGTTAACAGAAGAGAGAGGAACAGCCAGCTGGAGAGGAACCAATGAAATGCCTTAGAGGCAGCTCTTGGCTGGAGGAAGAAAGTGGTCTGACCTCAGCATGCTGTACAGAGGTCTGCCCTGGACTCGGCAGAGCCAGGCTTGGTCTAAGCAACTTTGTTGGTTGGATGTCAGCAGGACCAATGTTAGGGTCAAACAGGAAACTTACAAAATGAATTGGATGTCAAAAAAAGAAAAAGAAAAAAAAAGGTGATGTGCCCAAATAAACTATAAGAAGCCAGCTTAAATGTACTGTGTACAAGAAATTTTGGCTGTTAATTTCTTTCCATGAGGATAACAATTTTTAATGCAGGCATAAAATTAGCCAGCTGCCTACAGTTCAAGAAAATTTGTCATTCAGTTGCTATAAACAGTAAAAATATTCAAACAGGACAATTTTTTTACATTAAAAATCTTTTTTTAAATTTATTGGGGTAATTTTGGTTAATAACATTATATAAATTTCAGGCGTATAACTTTATAACCTAGTGTGTACTCACCACCCTAAGTCTAGTCTCCTGCCACCATATATGTGACCCCCTTAGTCTGTTCATCCTCCCTGCACTCTGCTACCCCTGTGGTAACCATCATACTGTTGTCTGTATCTATGAGCCTCTTTCTGTTTTTTTGTTTGTATTTTTTGTTTGTTCATTTGTTGCTTTCTGTTTTATATCCCACCTACGAGTGAAATCATTCGGTTTTTTACCTTTTCTGACTTATTTCATTTAGCATGATACTTCAAGATCCATCCATGTTGTTGCAAATGGCAATATTTCATCTTTCTTATGACTGAGTAATATTCCATTGTATATATGTACCACATCTTCTTTATCCATTCATCTGTCGAAGGACACTTAGGTTGTTTCCAGTGTCTTGGTTATTGTAAATAATGATGCAGTGAACATGGGGGGTGCAGACAGCTTTATGAATAAATGTTTTTAAATTTTTTGGGTAGATACCCAGAAGAGGAATTGCCGGGTCACATGGTAGCTCTATTCTTAACTTCTTGATGAACTTCCATACTCTTTTCCATAGAGGCTGTACCAATTTACATTCCCACCAGCAGTGTATGAGGGTTCCCTTTTCTCCACATCCTCTCCAACATTTGTTATTTCTTATCTTATTGATAATAGCATTCTGACAGGTGTGAGGTGGTATCTCATTGTGGTTTTGATTTGCATTTCCCTAATAGCTAATGAAGTTGAGTATCTTTTCATATATCTGTTGGCCGTTTGTCTTCTTGGGAAAAGTGTCTCTTCAGGTCCTCTGCCAATTTTTTTGTTTTTTGTTTTTGTTGTTGTTGTTGTTGTTGAGCTGTATGAGTTCTTTATATGGTTTGGATATTAGCTCCTTATTGGAGATAATGTTTGAAAATATCTCCTCCCATTTGGTCAGTTGCCTTTTTGTTCTGTTGATGGTTTCTTTTGTTGTGCAGAAGCTTTTGAGTTTGATGTAGTTCCATTCATATATTTTTGCTTTGACTTCCCTTGCCTTTGGGGTCAAGTTCACAAAAACTCTGAGACCACGGTCCAAAAGTTTAGTGCCTGTTTTCTTCTATGTATCCTATTGTTTTGGGTCTTATATTCAAGTCTTCAATCCATTTTTGTTAATTTTTGTGTATGGTGTCAGGTAGTCTAGTTTCATTCTTTTCATGTGGTTTTCCAGTTTCCCCAACACCGTTTATTGAAGAGACTTTCCTTTCTTGATTGCATGTTTTTCGCCCCTTTTTTGAAAATTAGTTGCCCATATATATACATGGGTTTATTTCTGGGCTCTCAATTCTGTGCCATTGGTCTTCGTGTCTGTTTTTCTACCAGTACCATACTGTTTTGATTACTGTAGCTTTGTAGTATAGTTTGAAGTCAGAGAGTGTGAGACCTCCAGCTTTTTTTTCTCAGGATTGCTTTGGCTATTCAGGGTCTTTTGTGGTTCCATACAAATCTGAGGATTTTTATTCTATTTCTCTGAGAAATGCCATTATGATTTTGATAGGGATTACATTAAATCTGTATATTGTTTTAGGAAACATGGGTATTTTAATGTTAATTCTTCCAATCCATGAACATGGGATATCTTCTCTTTTCTTTGTGTCTTCAATTTCTTTCAACAATGCTGTGTAGTTTTCAGTGTATAGGTCCTTCACCTCCTTTGTTAAGTTTATTCCTAGGTATTTTATTCTTTTAGTTGTAATTGTAAATGGGATTTTTTTTTTTAAATTTTTATTGGGGAATTGGGGGGATGGGAACAGGGCTGGGGAATTGGGGGAAGGGAAACAGACAAGTTGCTGTCGTTTTGTTCTTCAGTCTAGTTGTGGAGGACGTTGCTTCACTGGCCCAAGTTGGCACC